AACGAAGTGTAAATCTTAAATTAAAAGAATACAATTCACCTAACTTAAAGATATTGGGTTTTTTGGCCCAATTATTGATTGTTTATTGAGCCAGAAGCAGCCCATTAGTGGTGTCATGCGGATGCCGTCACCTCTTAAAGCATTAGGGATAGAACTATTGGAAAGAGTCTCATATCAAAAAAAGGATGGTTAAACCCCTAAATTTGGTTCTTAATTATTTTACAAACTTTTGATTTAATTTTTTAATTTAAAAAATCTCTATTTTGATCCTTAAAATTTTAAAAATTTGACTTTTTTTTTCTCTATTAAATTTTTGATGATGTGGACAACTATCCATTAACTAATTCATTTTTTTTAATTCTTTTTTGAACATGGGGGAATACGGGGGAAGGGGAATTTTTTTCGAGTGGTTGGTGGGAGTTGAATACCTGACCAACTCAACCCAAGCACTAAGACTTGGGGATGAATCATTATGGCCGAAGGCTTGGTTCCATTTTTTTTAATTCTTAATATTACGTGGAAAGTTGAAATATATTTTATTACTTATGTAGATATTTTAGCAGGCCCTTTCTAAATTAAAATAGCATAGTGGATATTCATGTTGAGGCATTGTATTATCAATTCAAGCATGGTTGATCAATGATACCTGCTAATATGTAAAAGATAATGTGAATTTGAGAGGAAGGATTACTGAATGTTAGTAATGTTGTCTCTCAATGTAAAGACACTAGTAGTATCCATGACTAGTAGATTTTATTTTTATTTTTATTTTTTTGTTGTTGTAGGGATGGCTAGAGAGCTTTTGTTGACCTTCCATAACTAGAGGGATTAAAATAGCATAGTGGATATTCATGTTGAAGCATTGTATTATCAATTCAGGCATTGTATTATCAATTCAAGCATTGCTGATCAATGATATTTGTTAATATGTAAAATATAATAATGTGAATTTGTAAGGAGGGATTACTAACGGTCAATAATGTTGCCTCTCAATGTAGAAATAGTAGTAGTATCCTTGACCACTAGTCACATTTTTTTTTTTGTAGGGTTGGCTAGAGAGCTTTGTTGACCTTATATAACTAGAGGGAGAATAGTGTCTAGCTTTGTCCATGATTGTAATGTAGTAGTGTGAACCGTGTACAGTTACCATGAAAGAAGCCTCATTGTCCCTTGAATTTGCCATGATGCAAAAGGGAAATTCTCATAAATCCACAATAAACCCCAACATAGCATTCATGTAAATGTAGTAATGATGGGTGAAGTGTTGTTCATAGTAGGGGAAAGTAGAGCTACATCCTATCCATGGCCTTTGGTATGAAGAAGATGTGATACCTTAAGAAGAGCAACAAGAACCTTGTGATGACCATTCTTGAAATGCACTCACACCATCAAACAATAGTGGTTGTGTTTCCTGTCAAGCATTGCACCACCATCCATGGGTGCCCATCGAGTAGCTGTCAATTGCACTTGGTGGTTTTTTATAACTGGAGCCATCCTTCCCAATCACAGGGCTTGTTGTCCGAAGCCAGAGGAACTATAGTGTCACAACTCAATCTATTGTCCATAGCAAAGGAGATTCTTAGTGTAGAGAAACAATTGTTTGAGGCTTCACATTGATCAATTAAGTTGTTGTAATATGTTTGACTCTTTGTCCATAGTTAGGAGCCATATTGTTAAGTAGTGAATGTAAGAGTAAAGTCATGACTTTTATGGGCATCTAATTATATTTTCAAAATAGATGTTGTCGCACTAAGTTGTACAAGAAGATGTACTATTGATGTAGAATTGATGTAGAATATGTATTTGTCATTTCCAATGATGTGTGGGATGAATGCTACTTCTAGCAATGTTGATTCCTTTGTAGTTATCAACATAAAATATTGCATAGAATGTCTAATATAGGGATAAATAGTGTAGGCTCTTTTGGCTACAAGTTCCAAAGCTTCTCTTGGTGATGTGGCATTGCACAGGCTTATATTTGAAGTCAATACAAATTCATTTTTGTACAAAATGGCATCTTAAAATGAAAAATGGAATAATTAAATTTAAACGCCTTAAATTAAAAAGTTAGATAATTAAAGTTGGATGAAGGGAGTAAAGGATAATAAGGCACCCTTTTTTTTTTTATAAATAATGAAAAATAGAAAATGATTAAAAGATAATTGTTTTTTACAAATCTATATATATATAATGCAA